TACAGCTTAAACAATTTACAATCATGACGTGGATCTTGACAAGATAAAGAAATAATACAAATTATATACAATGTCATCATGCCAACAGCTACACTGGACACGTCGGCTTACCTTGTACAGGGGTCCAGACGGACAAAGCCGAGCACAGGAGAAAAGTCCGGAGTGAGAAAAAGGAAGAGTCCTTAAAGTAGAAGTTGTTCAGAGACATGATCGATGATTAAAAATTCCGTTTTCTGACTGTTTTTTGGAAAGCTGCAGTCCGATCAGTCCCTGCCTGCTTCGAGCGAATTGAATCAATGAGCTGCGAGGATCACTCGCTGTTTAAAAATAACAGTCTCCGCCTACGGAGCGCTGAAGTCCCGTGATGGGATTACGCAGGGGAAGCCCCACAGTGAAACCTGTCTGTGGCGCTTCATCGTATCACCGAAATAACTCAGTACTCGGATCATTTCTATAGAAACTCCGAGGCTCAGCTTCATCTAACTAATCTGCTCGGTCTCACTTTCTGTTCAGTTTGAAGACTCAGACATTATAATGTGTCTCACTGATAACAAATAAAAACAAGTTAAGCTGTCAGGTGAAGTAAGCCACTCTGAACTTTCATAGAAAAATATGAAAATCATGTTAACAAAAACAAAAACGTGTCTAAAAGATGTATGTAGCACAGCATCCAGAGACTAACTTGGATATATGACTGTTTAATCAATCTAATAGATACAGAAGGTGACTTTGATCATTTATCTGTGAGATCAAACCTGCAGCAAAGATTCAACGCTGTTTAAAATGTTGTGATGATGTAACATCCTCCACCTGCCAGTATAAATGCTCAGACATGTCAGTACAGAGAACGATGGAAGCTCTGCTGGTTAAACTGGTGCTGGCAGCACTGAACTGTTCCTTATATGCTATTAGTCAATACAGATATTGTAGAGCTTTCACATCACTGCTAATAATAACCATAATTATAGTTATAATAATATATCTGTATTTATAAATGACAGACTAAAGAGGAGTAATGATATATAAATGATAAATTAAGCACATTTTAATTTATGCTTAATAGTGTGGTATTAATATATAAAGTGCTACCATTATTTTTAATATATCTAAAATAAAATCAGGACTCGTACTTCTGAGTTTCTCTGACAGTAATTAAATGGCTGAATTTTCAATAACAACATTAATTAGCTCCACAGAAGCTCCAACAATACGAAAATCCTGACTTCCTTGACTGGAAGCAGATGACGTGTTCTAGCAACAGCAAAGCTCATTAGGAATGAAGTCTCACTCTCACTTCCTCTTCCAGCACATGCGTTTAGCACAGAATGGGCGTAGCTCTGCTGAGAACTAATCTCACTGCAGGCGGCCTGGACAATCCAATATTATTACAGTGAAATCAACTTCAGTGGGTTTTTACTGTAACACATGCACTGGTTTACCTGTCTGTGACATTTGCCTTCTATACAACAATAAGTGATAATAATCAAAAGAAATAAAACTAGCAGTGAAACCAATGAAAATGAAATGTTTTTAAGCAATAAAAACAAAATTGAAATAAGAAAATAAAAAACTCTGATAACGACGACCACAGAGACCCTGCATCAGTCTGCTGATGTAGGAAAGACAAGAAGTTCACCACAAACACACAAAAACCCAAAAAGAAATGATGCAGAGAAAAATTGGACTGTTTTCTCAACTTAATGTCTTCTTTACAAAAAGGTAACATTTGACCTATTTTCATTGGCTAATTCT